CCTCTTCTTTTTCTTCTCCTTCTTCTTCTTCTCCTCCTTCTCCTCCTTCTCCTCCTTCTCCTCCTCCTCCTCCTCCTCCTCCTCCTCCTCCTCCTCCTCCTCCTTCTTCTTCTTCTTCTTCTTTCTTCTTCTTCTTTCTTCTTCCTCCTCTTTTGAGACAGAGTCTTGCTCTGTCACCCAGGCTGGAGTGCAATGGCATGATTTTGGCTCACTGCAACCTCTGCCTCCCTGGTTCAAACAATTCTCCTGCCTCAGCCTCCCGAGTATCTGGGACTATAGGTGGGCGTTACCACGCCCAGCTAATTTTTTGTATTTTTAGTAGACAGGGTTTCATCATGTTGGTCAGGCTGGTCTTGAACTCCTGACCTCAAGTGATCCACTCACTTCGGCCTCCCAAAGTGCTGGGATTACAGGTGTGAGCCACCTTGCCTGGCTGAGGCTGTACGGTTCTTAAAGAAAGACAGAGACACACAGAGAGAAGCCGATGGAGTCTATGGAAGTGAGGAAGTGGGGCATGGTGGATAGCGGATACCCTCCCTCGGGGCTCATGTGTTGCACTGTGCCCAAAGAAGGACTGGTGGACCCAGGTTGGCTGTGACTTTTAGGCTTGTGAGCTGGGCACAGGTAGGAGTAGACCCCTCCTCCCTCTCAGGTTCTGGAACCCTCTCAGGTTCTGACCTCTGCAGCCACCAAGAGGCAGGCTGTCATTCAGTGACCATCAGGGCCACTGGTGAGCTGAGTGTCTTTCACCTAGCCTTGTGCTGCTGAAAGCACTATCACAGAGGTGCCAGTCAACTTACTCCCCGAGGCAGATGGGTACAGTCAGGGAGCCACCTGCTGTATCAGAAGCACAGCAAAAGCATTTCCTCACTGGAAGACCTCAGACAGGTCCCTTCCCTTCTCTGTGCCTCAGTTTTCCCATCTGTAAAATGGGGACAATACTAGTAGCTATGTCATGTGGCCCTTGTGAGTATCCAAGGAGCTCATGTTTATTTTATTTTATTTCATTTCACTTCATTTCATTTTATTTTTGGAGACGGAGTCTTGCTCTCTCGCTCAAGCTGGAGTGTAGTGGCGCGATCTTGGCTCACTGCAACCTCCACCTCCTGGGTTCAAGTGATTCTCCTGCCTCAGCCTCCCACGTAGCTGGATTACAGGCACATGCCACAATGCTCAGCTAATTTTTTTCTTTTTTTTTTTTTCTTTTTTGATACTGAGTTTTGTTCTGTTGCCCCGGCTGGAGTACAGTGGCATAATCTCGGCTCTCTGCAACCTCTGTCTCCCAGGTTCAAGCAGTTCTCCTGCCTCAGCCTCCCAAGTAACTGGGATTACAGGCATGGCCAACCATTCCCGGCTAATTTTTGTATTTTTCAGTAGAGACAGGGTTTCATTACGTTAACCAGGCTGGTCTTGAACTCCTGACCTCAAGTGTTCTGCCCACCTCAGCCTCTCAAAGTGCTGGGATTACAGGTGTGAGCCACCATGCCTGTCCGAAGAACTCATGCTTAATGAAGCCCTTAGCACAGCACCCAGCAAGCAGCAAGTGCCCAACTAGCCCTTATTGTTCTAACCAGAGGGACTCAACTCCATGTAGCTCAGGACCACCATGCATGGGAGATTGCGTCCAGTCCTTTCCCTCGAGAACAGTCAAGTGGGGAAGGAAGACAGACAATAAAAGAAGAATCACACCAACGAGGCAGGTACTTGGAAGGAAAGTTCTGGGGCTAGAAGAGCATACAGCCAAGACCCTGAGACCTCGTCTGAGCCATCAGGGAAGTCTTCTGGAGGAAGTGATGCTGGCTGAGATCTGAAGGAAGAGCATGTGTTTCTAAGTGAAGGGAAGGGGCAGAGACAGCATTCCAGAGACAGGGAACTGCACTCCAGAGCAAGGAACAGCATTCTAGGTAAGGGAACAGCACTCCAGATTGAGGAACAGCATTCCAGAGTGAGGAAACAGCATTTGCAAAGGCACAGCAGAAGGAAGGCGTGCAGAAGCTCGGAGGCATGGAGCAGGGACAGCGAGGGCACCTGTGGTGTGAGGCAGGGTGGTGTGGGTGGGCTGTGGCCGTGCTGTGCCTCCTAGATCTACCTGCTGATCAGAAAAGAGATCACAGTGAGGAAGCTACATCAGAGCCTGCCTTGGAGATGACGGGGGCTTTGCAGAAGGCAAGCAGTATTTGAGGACTGAGTGTTTGCAAAGTGGAGCCAGCCTCCTTGGCAGTCCCTCGATGTCCCCTGGCTGGAGGGAGCTTGGGGAAGTGGGTAGTGGGGTCTCCTTTCTGCCTCAGGAGCAGGTTCAGGCAGCCCTCACCTCACCCTCCCCACAGGCCTGAAGCTGATCCTGGACATAGGCCAGGAAGACTATGTCCCCTTCCTCACATCCACGGCTGGGGTCAGGCTGATGCTTCACGAGCAGAGGTCGTACCCCTTCATCAGAGACGAGGGCATCTACGCCATGTCGGGGACGGAGACATCCATCGGGGTACTTGTGGTATGGCCAGAGCCCAGGGCAGCCCTAGAGGGTCTAAGGGTGGGAGCCCACCTGTCCAGGGCCAACTTCCCTTGGCCTGGGAGGAGGGGATCCGGGTCCCCCAGCCCTGCCTGACCGGCCTTCCTTTTGTCTGGAACCCCCCCAGGGTGGCCAAGCCTTAGGGGAAGGTGAGCCTTTGGCACTCCCTCTGGCGCCTGCAGGGGTTTACAGCCCTCCTTCCCCTCTCAACATCCCCTGTCCCCACATCCTTGATGGAAGGAGATGCAGAAGGGACTTCCTGGGGTGACCAGGGCTCCCCTCAAGCAACCCCTCTAAACACAGGACAAGCTGCAGCGCATGGGAGAGCCCTACAGCCAGTGCACCGTGAACGGCTCCGAGGTCCCCATCCCAAACTTCTACAGTGACTACAACACGACCTACTCCATCCAGGTGGGAAGATGGTGCACGCCTCATGTCGGCGGGGGAATGGGGCAGTCCAGGTTTATGGGGCCGAGGCCTCAGTCCTCCGGGAGAGCTGGCCCCAGCAAGGCCGGCTCTGCTAGGCTTTTGTCGGTGACCACGTCGCACCCCTGGGCCTGCGGGACCAGTCACTTTCCTGGGCTCTCTCACCAGGGCCTAGGACTGCCCCCTGCTCATCCCCACTTGGGCAGGTGCACCCTTGGGCATGCCCAGGGGATTATAGGGATCTTACTCTGGGGTTTCCCAAGATGAAAACAAAAAACAGCAGCTAACACCATCAAGCTCTCGTTTCGTGTGAGATGCTATGCTGAGGGCTGGTACGAATTCCATCATCATTTAATCCTTCAACCCCCTCCTGTCATGAATCCATAATCTACCTGTGACAGCAGCATGTACCGATGAACTAATACTAGCAGGCTTACCATGTGTTAGAGTCACTGTTGTAAGTAATTTACATATATATTACGTCACTTAACTTTCACAACAACCCTAATATGTAGATGCTATTATTCCCATTCCCATTTTACAAATGTGGAAATTGGGATTTACAGACCCTAGTGCAAATGCGTCATCAGTTTATCTGAGAAGTCCCTCTTTTTTTTTTTTTTAAGAGATTGCCGGGCGTGGTGGCTCACACCTTTAATCTCAGCACTTTGGGAGGCTGAGGCGGGTGCATCACTTGAGGTCAGGAGTTCGAGATCAGCCTGGCCAACATGGTGAAACCTCGTCTCTACTAAAAATACACACACACACACACACACACACACACACACACACACACACACACAAATTAGCTAGGCATGGTGGCACGTGCCTGTAGTCCCAGCTACTCGGGAGGCTGAGGCAAGAGAATTGGTGAACCCGGGAGGCAGAGGTTACAGTGAGCTGAGATTGCACCACTGCACTCCAGCCTGAGCGACAGAGTGAGACTCTGTCTCAAAAATAAATAAAATCATAAAATAAAATAAAAAAGGGAGACAGGTCTTGCTCTGTCAGCCAAGCTGAAGTGCAATGGTGCCATCATAGTTTACTGCAGCCTCAAACTCTTGGATTCAAGCAGTCCTTTTGCCTCAGCCTCCCTAGTAGCAGGACCACAGGCATGAGCCACTGTACCTGGCTAATTTCTTAATTTTTAAATTTTTTTGCAGAGACAGAATCTTGGTATGTTGCCCAGGCTGGTCTCGAACTCCTGGGCTCAAACAATCCTCCCACTCTGGCCTCCCAAAATGCTGAGATTATAGGCATGAGCCACTGCGCCCACTGGAAGTCCCTCTTTGTATCTGCCCTCAATCTCCCTTGCTGTAGCTGGAGGCTTCCCTCTTGTCCTGATCTCCAGAGTTATCCCAGACCTGCCCCTAGTCCTGGATCCCTTGGAGAGGGCAGACTGAATTCTTGCAAGGTGACAAAAATGACCACTTGCTGATACTCCCTCTCTCAGCCCAGTCTGCCTTGGCAGATCAGTGCACGGAAGCATAACAGGAGGGCAGCCTAGTGCCTGCCTCAGTGTCTGGGTCCCCAAGCATGGCATGGCTTGCCCCTTCCCCTTAGTCATAGGAAATGACTCTCCTGGTGCCCGCCTGCCCACACATTGCCTGGCTGGTTTGGCCACTTCCTGACTGGAGGGACTTCTGTCCATTACGGAGAACTCTAGGCATCATCTGAATCTCTAGAGGGACAGATAGGGCTGTACGGGGAAGTGTGAAACACGGAGAAGAAGGCCCCAGCCCAGAAACCTCATTCGAGGAGAATTGCGCCTCTTGTTTCTTCCAGCGTGGTGGCCACACTGGCCAGAAAACTTAGCCAAGAGGCGGGCCCTGAGGGAGCTCTGCACATCCCCACACCCACCCCAACCAGCAACAGGCTTGAGCCCACCCCAGCTTCCATCACAGGGCCTGGGAAGGACTCCCACTTTCCAGATGAGACAGAGAAGTCTGCAAGAATATAAGATACCTTGGCGGGACGTGGTGGTGCATGCCTGTGGTCCCAGCTACGCAGAGGCTGAGGTGGAAGGATCGCTTGAGTCCAGGAGTTTGAGGATGCAGGGAGTTATGATCAGGCCACTGCACTCCAGCCTGGGCCACAGAGTAAGACCCTGTCTCAGGAAAAAAAGGAAAATTTAAAAAGAGGCTGGGTGCAGTGGCTCACACCTGTAATCCCAGCACTTTGGGAGGCCAAGGCGGGAGGATCACAAGGTCAGGAGATCGAGACAATCCTGGCTAACATGGTGAAACCTGTCTCTACTAAAAATACAAAAAATTAGCTGGGTGTGGTGGCTACCTGTAGTCCCAGCTACTTGGAAGGCTGAGGCAGGAGAATCGCCTGAACCTGGGAGGCAGATGTTGCAATAAGCCGAGATTGCACCACTGCACTCCAGCCTGGATGACAGAGCGAGACTCCGTCTCAAAAAAAAAAAGGAGGCGGGGGGGGCCAGGCACGATGGCTTATGCCTGTAATCCCAGCACTTTGGGAGGCCGAGGTGGGTGGATCACCTGGGGTCAGGAGTTCAAGACCAGCCTAGCCAACATGCCTAGCCACTGCACTCCAGTCTGAGTGACGGAGCAAGACTCCATCTGAAAAAAAAAAAATAGAATATACCAAAACCCAGCTCTGGCTCCTCCTGGCCATGCCATTTAATCTGCCTTCCAGCCCTGATGTCCTGCCCTCAGAGAGCCCACAGACTCATTAGGGGCAAGAGAAAGGCAGGACATAAGGGCCTGGGAAGAAGCCGCGGGAGGAGCAGGAGGACGTGGGCGCAGGTGTGGAGGGTGGGGCTGAGTGGAGAGCGGTAGGGAGGAGCTGGCCAGGGCCGGATCCAAGTCAGGACCTAGGAAACTGAATAGGCAATGAAACACCAAGAACCGCTGCCTCCCTCCGTCCAGCGCTTCCTGAGCACCTGATGCAGCCCTGAATCCTCCCTCCCAACCTCAGGAGACAGGTGTCATCCACACTGTTTCACCTGAGTAAACCCAGCCCCAGAGGTTCATGACTTGCCCTAGGACACATAGTTGGTCTCTGAGTGGACTGAAACCAGGTCAAAATGACCTGAAAGCACAGTATTTGGGGCTGAGTGAGTGGAGACTCATCACTTCCAGCCTCCCAGAGGCTGCCCCGGGAGCCTCCTTCTTCCTCGCCCCACCAGGAGACGTTCTGCAGACTAGCAGGCCGCTCACGTCCTCCGTCATCGGCTGTGCATCAGGACACTCAGAGATCGTCCTTCTCCTGGCTTTCCCTGGGCAATTCCCTCTGGGAGGAAGGAGCACAGAACCAGCCTGCCTGGCTTCCTTGGTGGCCTGTCAGGCTGCATCTGTGTCAAGTGCTCAGAAGGAGGCTGGCGTCCTCATCACGAGAGCTATCTAAGCATTGGCTTTATTATTAGGGGCAAGCCGCTCTTCTCCATAGGGAGGGGTGAGGACCTCAGCTCTGAATGGTAAGACTCGGGATGCTGGGGTCTGACCTGGGTCCCTCTGCGGGGTGCAGGGACCTGCTATGAAGCCAAAAGCTTTCAGGACTGTGGGGTCCGTAGCTGCAGGCTGGTCATTTCACCACAGCTTCTCAGCCCTGGGGCACCTCTGCCAGCTCCCCTAGCTCCCTTGATCTGGGCATCACTTTTCTGGATGCCCCTAGTGCTAGAATCGGGACATCACCGACCCTGCCTGTGTTCTCTCCTTATGAACCCCCACCTCCCCCACAGGCCTGCCTTCGCTCCTGCTTCCAAGACCACATGATCCGTAACTGCAACTGTGGCCACTACCTGTACCCGCTGCCCCGTGGGGAGAAGTACTGCAACAACAGGGACTTCCCAGACTGGGGTGAGTGGGGGTACAGAGGGGTCGGCACTCCAGCCAGCTGTAGCCACAGAGGCCCTGACCACAGAGGAGGGGGCAGAGCCCAGAGATGTGCCCAGGTCGGCTCCTCCACAGTCCGAGGTCCCTCCTACAATCCCCTCCCACGACCCCTTTCTGCAGGAACCCAGGCTTCTGTCTACACCTCAATGTCATGAAGCCTGGGCTTGAAACACACAGGGGTGGGGTGCATGTGTCCTTGCGAGCCTGTGTCTGTGTGCCACACAGTTGCTCTCACATATGCACAAGCCTAGCCGTGTGGCTGCTGGCGTGTGTGTGCCCGCACTCATGTTTCCAAATGCAGGTGGGCAAAGGCATTTCCACACTCGCGTCCAGATGCACAGGAGCCGTTTGTGCCCGCGATGGGTTGCCGTTTGTAGGTTTATGCACAGGCACAAATCACTTCCAGGGTCTGCATTTGTGCCCACTGGCTCTTGTGCACTCGCATGGTGGTCTGGAGTCCAACCACTGATGAGTGTTGTCCGCAGGGTGCAGTGGCTCGTGCTTGTAATCCCAGCACTTTGGGAGGCCAAGGCAAGAGGATGACTTGAGGCCCGGAGTTCAAGACCAGCCTGGTCAACATGGCAAAACCCCGTCTCTACAAAAAAAAAAAAAAAAAAAAAGTAAAAGAGAGAATGTAAAGAATGCTGTCAGCAGGAGCCTGACTACTTATAACCAACACAGACTGAACGGGAACACTTTATTCCTTCCAGTCACCCACCCTTTCCCTTTGTTCATGACCTCATGACCCTATCCGCCAGGCAGGGATGGGGACGGCAGGCAAAGGGAAAGCTGCTCTGACCTCCCTGAGCTGGGCCCCAGGCCAGGCTGGGGTGAAAGGGCTGGAGGTCGGGGGCTGGGTGGGGAGCGGTGATTCTTCATGACACCTCCTCCCAGCACCTAACCACAGGGCCAGGAGAGCAGAGGAACCAGCCAGAGGCTCAGCAGGGTACAGGGCCACCTGGAAGGCCCCCCAAAGCCTCTTGGCCACCTCTCTGTCTCCTGCACAGCCCATTGCTACTCAGGTCTGCAGATGAGCGTGGCACAGAGAGAGACCTGCATCCGCATGTGCAAGGAGTCCTGCAAGTGAGTCCGGGCAGGTGGGCACAGTGGCAGGTGGGCACAGTGGCAGGCAGGCACAGTGGCAGGCAGGCACAGTGGCAGGAGAGCACAGTGGCAGGCGGGCACAGCAGCAGGGGGACACAGTGGCAGGGGGCACATGGCAGGCAAGCACAGAGGCAGGTGGGCACAGCGGCAGGTAGGCACAGAAGGGCACCACCGGCAGCAACTGTAACAGGGCTAGCCTTCTCTTTCAGTGACACCCAGTACAAGATGACCATCTCCATGGCCGACTGGCCGTCTGAGGCCTCCGAGGTGAGACAGTTGGGGGCCAAGCTCCTGGCCCACAGCTTTGGGCTGGGGACAAGTCTGGACATAAGATGTGGGCTATTTGGAAATTTGGAAGGGGTGCTTTTTTCCCTCCCTCCTTCCTTCCTCTCTTTCCCTACCTCCTTCCCTCCCTCCCTTCCTTCCTCCATCCCTCCCTTTCCCCTTCCTTCCTTCCTTCCTTCCTCCCTTCCTTCCTCCCTTCCTTCCTCCCTCCTTACCCTTCCTTCCTTCTCCCTTCCTCCTCCCTCCCTTCCTCCCTTTTCCCTTTCTCCCTTCCTTTCTTCCTCCCTCCCTCCCTTCTCCCTTCCTTTCTTCCTTCCTTCCCTCCCTCCCTCCCTTCCTTCCTTTCTTCCTTCCTTCTTTCCTTCTTTCCTCCCACCAATATTCTCCCAGGCACTGTGCTATGCACACAGCACATTATTAGACAGACATAATCCTTGTCCTTATAGAGCTTACATTCTAATAGGAGAGGGCCAAGATCACAAACAGAAATAAGATCATTTCAAAGTGTGATCGTGGCCGTGAAATAAACAGGTGATGGGAGAGGATAACTGGGGGAAACTACTTTATTTCTGTATTTTTACTTTATTTTTTATTTTTAGAGACAGGGGCTTGCTCTGTTGCCCAGGCTGAGTACAGTGATGTGATCATGGCTCACTGAAGCCTCAAACTCCTGGGCTCAAGTGATCCTCCTGCCTCAGCTGTGGTCCTCAGCTGGGACTACAGGCACATGCCACCAGGCCTGGCTAATTGTTAAACTTTTTGCAGAGATGGAGCCTCGCTATGTTGCCCAGGCTGGTCTTGAACTCCTGGCCTCAAGCGATCCTCCCACCGAGGCCTCGGAAAATGCTGGGATTATAGGTGTGAGCCACCATGCCTGGCCTCTGGGAAAACACTAGATAGAATGGTCAGGGAAGGCCTCTCTAAAAAGGTGGTATTTGAGCTGACACCTGGAGGCAGAGGCTGAGCCAGCATGGGCAGAGCTGGGGAGGATTCCAGGCAGAGGGAGCAGGAAGTGTGAGGACCACAGGTAGGAAAGAGCCGGGTAGGGAGGCCAGGCCTGCCGGGGAAGAGTCTGGAGGCCCGAGTCCCTTCTCCCCTAGAACAGCAGCCACAGCTTCCGCTAAAACCTTCCTCCTGCTCCTCATCCAAACTGTGATTCCCAGGGGCCTCAGGAAGGGGCAGGGCTGTGGACTTCCTCCTCCAGGGAGCAGGGCCATGACTGGGAGGGATGTCGCGGATGGCAACTTTTGCAGCTGCCTTCTTGGGTTCCAGGACTGGATTTTCCACGTCTTGTCTCAGGAGCGGGACCAAAGCACCAATATCACCCTGAGCAGGTGAGCCTGAGCCTGGGCGGGGCTGGGGAAGACAGGGAAGTGGGGACCAGAACCTCGGGGCAGGAGTTTGGACACAGAGCAGCTCCTCAGACACCTTCCCACATGGGTTACATCCTGGAGCAAGCCTTGAGGAGGAGGCACTGGGTGTGAGAGAGAAGAAAGGCAGCCATGAGGACTCTGAGTCTAACACCCTCTAAGGGGGAACCTGTGCTTCCCTCTGTCGCTCTCCATCCACCCTGCCATCCATTCATCCTCCGTCCACCCACATATCCAGCCATGCTCCATCCATGCATTCTCCATCACCCACCCTTCCATCCTTCTGCCCACACACCCAGCCATGCTCCATCCATTCACCCTCCATCACCCACCCTTCCATTCTCCCACCCACAAACCCAGCCGTCCTCCATCCATTCATCCTGCATCATCCACCTTTCCATTCATCCT